TGGGTAACCTATAAGCTATGTTGTTGTTGTTGTTGTTTGCTGTCGAGTCGGCCCCGACTCATAGCGACCCCTCCTTGGTTTCCGAGGCAGTATCACTACGGAAGTAGGATTGCCCAACCTTCCTTCCGAGGAATGGCTGGTGGGTTTGAACTGCCAACCTTCTGGTGAGCAGTCAAGTGCCTTAGGCACTATGCTACCAGAGTTCCTCCTATAAGCTATAGTCATATGGAAAACTGTTCTGGCTGTGTGCTTCCAGTACAACTCAGTGGCATGAGAATTCAATATATTAAATAAACACACTAACTGCTGTCATGATGGTTTGGCAGAGGCTGCTGGCTATCCCTCAGTATCTGCTTTTCCCTTCTATAATTGTAATAGAGTCCATGGTTTTATGAGAACACATGGTTGCCTAGAAGAAAAATATTTGCCAATCTTTCCTGCAGTTAGGTAGAACCATGTCACCAAGTTATGACCAGCGGAATCTGTGTAGAAGTGATGTGTGCAACTTCCAGATTGTGCCCTTAAATGGAAGGGTGGGTCCCACTTCTTGTTGACTAGAATGTATGTGTGTGGTTAGTCAAGATAGTTCATGAGGACAAGAGATATATCCTAGGGATGGATGGAACAATGAGATAGAACTCGATGCCCTGTGGACTGCTTACACCCTGGAACTGCTATCTTATTTAAGCAACTATTGTTTTGGTTCTATTCTGTGTTACAAGAGTCAAGCCTGCATCCTAATACACAAGGGACACATTTCAAGCAAATAAACACAACACAACACAACGCACTGCCATCAAGTCGGATCCGACTCATAGCAACCCCTCCTTGGGTTTCCGAGGCAATATCACTACAAAAGTAGGTTGCCCAACCTTCCTTCCAAGGAGTGACTGGTGGGTTTGAACCTCCAACCTTCTGGTTAGCAGTCAAATGCCTTAGGTACTGCATCACCAGAGCTCCTTTTCAAGCACTTACTCACAGATTACATGATCAAGAGTATAAATGATCACATATACTGACAATATCAAATATCATTGAGGGTGTTGAGAATTTGGACTCTCAGAATTGCTGGTGGGAATGTAAAATGGAATGGCCATAGTTTGACAGTTTCTTAAAAAGGTAAGCATACATTTACCATGTTACCCAGACATTCCATTCCAAGGTATTTACCCAAGAGAAATGAAAACATTTTTCCATACAAAGAGTATTGTGTGAATATTCATAGCATAGTAAAGCACTTGACTGTTAACCAGAAGGTTGGCGGTTCAAACCCATCAGCCACTCCTTGGAAGGAAGATGGGTCAATCTACTTGCATAGTGATACTGCCTCGGAAACCCAAGGAGGGGTTGCTATGAGTCGGGTCCGACTCGACGGCACATAACAACAACAGTAAATGTTCATTAGTCCTAATAGCCCCACACTGGAAATAACCTCAAAGACCATTAAACAGTTGATAAACTGTGGCAAATACATAACATGGTATACTACTCAACAATAAAAATGAACTAACTACTGATACATGCAAAAACATGGCTGAACTTCAGAAACATGGTAAACAAAATAAGCCAGATGTATAAAACTACATTTGTATAATTGCATGTCCATTACATTTCTAGAAAAGGCAAACCTATGGAAGGAGACAGGAACTAAACCTAAATCTTCACTTTCCAGCTATCTCATTATCTGATATTTTGCATTTACAGCAATAGTAAAAATCTGACTATTTTGTGCATTAATGGCATGTCTGGCAGTAATGAGCACCAAGTTGTGAGGCTACAGTAACACTGGCTGTGATGGTTAAGATTATGTGTTAATTTGACTGAACTATGGTTCTCAGTGGGAGCTCTGGTAGCATAGTGGCTAAGGCACTTGACTGCTAACCAGAAGGCTGGCGGTTCAAACCCACCAGCCACTCCTCGGAAGGAAGGTTGGGCAATCCTACTTCCGTAGTGATACTGCCTCGGAAACCCAAGGAGGGGTCGCTATGTGTCGGGGCCGACTCGACGGCAAATAACAACAACAACAACAACAGCAATGGTTCTCAGTGGTTTGGCAGTTATGTAATGATTTAGTCATTCTCCATTTTCACATAAAACAGATTTTTGCATTCACATCTTGTCTTTGGAACCTAACTATGTTGGTAAGTAAATTTTGGATGTATAGTGATAGAGATAGAAAGCAGATCAGCCTTTGCCTGGGGTGTGGGGTAGGAGCAAGGACTGACTACAAATGAGCACAAGGAAATAATTTTGGGTGATGGAAGTATTCTAAAACTAGATTGTGGTGGTGGTTGCAAAATTATTTAAATTTATTGAATCTCATTAAACTGTACACTTAAATAGGTGAATTTTATGACATGTAAATTATGACAGTAAAATTAAAAAACAATTAAGTGTATAGGTGAAGGGAAGAGAGGGAAAGAGAGGATAAATCACTAACTAGAGGGCAGACATATATAAGCTTGAGTCACAGGAAAGGCAATATACAATAAGGGAAAAGTCAATACAGAATGACCAAGGCAAAGGAAGACACTGGGAAGAACACAAATTAAAGGCAACAACCAAAAGAACCAAACCAAACTCACTGCCGTCGAGTTGAATCTGACTCACAGCAACCCCTCATTGGGTTTCTAAATACACTATTAAATACACAATGCTGCAATAACAGTGATAACAATAACCTGAGTCGATACATAGACATGCAAGCTGAACAGGTTGTGGTAAAGCAAATGGGATGATACCCATGAATAGGTTTGACAGGATATTTCTACATATATGGATTTATATAGACTGCAAATATATCCATGCAATCCCCACAATTTAATAGCAGTCTTCCCACTTCTTCTGTGTTTCTGGTTTCCATTCATCCATTCAGATATAGTAGAGCGTAGAAGGGGCAAAGTTATGAAAACTTCTTAGCTGTGACCAAATACTTTGAGGGAATGAGTTGCTGGGCCTGGGGACTCAGGACCACAGTCCTGGGGAACATCAAGATCAGCTGGTATAACATAGTCCACAAAAACAATGTTCTACATCATACATTGGTGAGTAGCAACTAGTGTCTTAAAAGCTTGTGAGTGGCCATCTAAGAGGCACCTCTTGGCCTCTCCTCATCTGGAGCAAAGAAGAGTGAACAAAATCAAAGACACATGAAAATGATTGGTCCAAAGGACTAATGGACCACACAAACCTCAGCCTCCACTACCCTGAGACAGAAGAACTAGATAGTGCCCAGCTACCACTACAGGCTGCTCTGATTGGGATCAAAATAAAATGTGGAACAAAATTAAAAATCATTAAAAAGACTAGGCTTACTGGTCTGATAGAGAGTGGTGGAAACCCCAAGACTATGACCCTCAGACACCCTTCAAACCTGGAATTGAACTCACCCCATGCTCAATTTTCTGTCAAACAATAGATAGGCCTATAAGGGGAACAATAACACTAGGAAGGTATGCACTCCTTAAAACAAGAGACCAAAAGGGCAACATTTGCCCAGGGACAAAGCTTAGACGTCAGGAAGGGACAGGGAAGAAGGACTAATGGAAATGGGAAACAAGGAAGAAGTGGGAAGAGTGCTGTTAATTGTGGGAATGCAATCAATGTCACAAAACAAAATATGTGTGAATTGGTGAATAGAAAACTAATTTGTTCTGTAGACATCTAAATCACAATAAAAAAAATTTAAGAAAAGAGCACAGGGAGAAGAGTCCGGGTGAGCTGCTAGTGCTGAGATGAAGTCATCATCAGTTTTTAGTCACAGGCGTCTCTTCTGTGTTGCTCTCTCATGGAACTTGCACTGCATCAGAGAAGAGCAGATCAATTGTGAATTATGATGAATAAATTGAAAACCTGTAGTTTATTTCAGTAATAACAGTTAAAATGTACAGAGCAGCCTACATTAAGCAGCCTACAACTGGTGTAAGGAAAATTCTTTCGACTCATATGCAGTGATACTCAGAACCCCGTTCTTTGTTTCAGAATAATTTGGGGTATAAGGTCTGGTATCTTTATGATGAGTGTGGTATATGGTCTTTAAAAATGGTCCCCAAAGAATTTAGCCTCCCGGTATTCACCCCCAATTGTAGCCTCTCCCCTTGAATCTGTGCTGGCCCTGTGGCTTGCTTTTAACCAATGGAATGCTTCAGAAGTGACACTGAGGCCTTCTAAGGCTAGATCACAAGAGGTGTAGCAGTTTCTGTTTTAATTTTTTGGAACATAAACACTGATGGAAGCCCATCACCATGTAGAAGGCTCAACTACACTGAGATTTCTATACTGTGAGTAAGCCTAAGATAACCTCATACTGAAGGACACACACACACACACACACA